AAAAAGTGATGACTCAAAGGGAAATAGAAAAAAATAATTGGATCCAAATGGGTAAATTTTGTCTTATATAAAAAGGGGAACCACCCAGTTGTATAGTCCCATGGTTGTCAAACTCGCGAGTAAACTCGCAAACTTGGATGAGTTTACGCTTCTGGTCACCCTCAACGTTTCTGTTTCCATGCGAACTCGCTTTTGGCACTTGAATGGTAGAAACACCGTGTTGTTTTGCAAACTCTTAAGCTCGTACGAGTTTAATGAGTTCAAGGAAATGCTGAGTGTCCTATGAACCCAAAAATTTGACCCAAAACCCATCGTATAAATGGGTTTTTTAAACACAAAAAATCCTAATACCTGGTTTCAGCCACCAGGTACTGCTAAATGAGGTCGCGCGACTCTGTCGGCTTCGTCTGATGTGCTTTGTCGTGCTGGATCGTCCTCTCCGACATGCTTCGTCATCGTCTGCAGCTTCTCCGACATGCTTCATCGTCATTCGTAGCTTCTCCGACCATCTTCTCTCTTCGTTGCCGTCGCGGTTGGTGTTCTCTGCCTCAATCTCTTATCCGCTTCATTTCTTTCTTCTTTTTTGTTTGCCACTGTTTTGCTTTTTTTTTTCTGCCTCTGTTTCTCATTTGTTTATAATATTTTTTTTTTCTATTTTTAATTTTCACCAATCCCTGTTTGCCTCTTTTTTTTTCTCGTTTCTTTTTTTCGCTTCCTCTGTTTCTCTGCGTCAATACCTTTTTTTTAATTTTAATTTTAATTTTTTTGCCCCTGTTTCGTATATTTGCTGCCACACGTCCACACCACACCACATGTATATTTGATAAACCAAATGTGGGATAAACTAAATTACATTTTTTTTGATAAATCAAATCAGAATTATTTGATAAACCAAATTACCTTTTTTTTCTCATGTTTGCCTCTGTTTTGTTTTATATTTACTGGGAAAAATAAAATTAGTCAAGTAACAATTACCCGGAACACTAACTCACTGAAATATATATATATATATATATATAATCCATTTGGTGAGGATTATAATGGAAGAAACAGAAAAAAAAACCACATATGAAGGAAACTATATAAGGAACCAATAAAAACAGAAAATACAACATGCAATAAATGAGTCTAACATGTGATTTCACATTCACTTACAGTACTGAGCTTTAAGAATTTCTAGAGGAGGAATGGATGAATAATATGGGCTTGATTGGAGATGGTTCCTCCTCAAGTCAAGAACCTGTTGTTCCGTGTCTCATTGGTGAGCTAGAGACAATATTATTGGCTCGATTTCCCATATCGGAACACTGGAAGTTGTGCTGTCCAAACAAGCAGTTCTTGGCGCAACTCAAGAGTGGTGAAATCTGGAGACAAAAACTTATAGTGAGGTTTTGAGTTCTGCTAGTTCATAAAGCCAGTCTTGGAAGACTCTCCCAAGAATGATGAGAGAGGATGTTCTGCTCAGGTTGTTACATGGATAACAAGTTCTATTAATTGGAGGGCAAGATGAGCAAGAAAACGACCTCACTTGTGAGGAATTCTTTGATGAAGAGACAAATAGTTGGAATTTGATTCCAGACTTGTTTAAGGTAGTGTTTGGTTCGAAGCTTTTCAATATTTTCCTAGCAAAGTGAGAACGGGTTTCTTCCTTCTCCACTTTTGGTAAATGGATTTGGTGTCTCTTGCCCATCAATGATGTTTGTCTAGCAATCCATGATAACAAATGAAATCTGGATTTGAACCGTGTTTTGAAAGCCTTTTGTGAAGGTGGTTTTGTCCATAGAAAGCGGATAAATGAAAAATGGTGGGAAATGCATGACAAGTTTACCCCTCCAATCTTAACCACACGTCAGTAAAGTTTTTTCGTGGACTACCCCAAAACCATGTATCATTCCAGTTTGTAAAATAAAGGGTTATTTATAAAAGGGTTATTTTATAATTTTACTAAATTTACCCATCAATATTTTATCCTCAACTAAACACAAATTCAGAAATTTTACTCAATTTTTTCGATAAAATTTTGTCCAACCAAACAACATTTTTTAAACTTTCCTATATATCTCACTTTCCCTGCAGATCCCTATCAAATATCAATTACATTTTCTTAGTATTCAAAATTTTTTTCTGCAACCAAACACTACATAAAGATATTCCACTTTCAACTTCGAGATTCCCACCTCTTTTTGTTATGAACACGCTTTATGCTTTCTCAAACAAGTTAAAGGCATGTATGAAGGGAAGTAACTCAAGGAAGAAGTTAGGACCAGTTCCAGTAAGAGCTAACGCTCATGAATGTAATGTTACCATGGATGATAGACAACGTTTGTTACAAGAAGATATATTAATCAAGAAGATGCACTATCATGAAATGAAAATATATTAATCAAATGTTAAGGTTTTATGAAATTTGGGAAATATCTATGCAAACAAAAATTAACCCCTTACTTAAGTTTCTTGTACCTTGTGTATAGGAGGACACTTTATTGGGTTCATTGCTAATAAACATGCGAAGTTGAAACAAATCTTGGGTGCTAAGGATGTAACTAAATCATATTTAAAAAGGAAAAAAAAATTGTACTTGAATAAATATAAATTAAAAGCTGAATTTAAATAGGAAAAAACTTTCCAACTTTAGATAAAGGGAGTACCCACTTAAGTTGGAGCCACTGTCAGTACAACACAAATATGAAAGGACACAAAAAAAAACATGATATGACAAAATTAAGAAAACAGTGAATATAATATTTATAATATTAAGTTTATATATATCTTAAATTAAAAGAAAGATATTAATGTTTTAAAAGTAATCATTAATATCTGTAGAGACCATATCATACTATTATTTATTTAATTATTATAATATCATGCGTAATTATGCAAGGGTAAGATTGCGTACAAGGATTACCTCCACCCCACACTCGTTAGTTGGGTTTAACGGGGAGGTATTTTTTTTTTTATAATACGCAAAAATTCAAGCAATAAATATAAGTATCCATGTGATGCAGGCTAAATCTAATTGATATGAATATATGTTCAACACTAATACAGTAGCCACTTTCAAATTGCTCGTGCTTCCTTGCTTTTAATAAACTTTACCAAGGGGTGTGACAATTTTCTTCTCTCTTTGAAATAGGGGTGATATTTTTTTGACGTACATGCCAAAACAATTTGAACATATTACAAAAAGGAAAAAATGTGTTATTTTGAAGAATGTAAAGTTGTGTCATTTTAAGTGAGAGAAAGAGATAGATTATTGGGGAGAGAGAGTGGACAAAAAAAATAAAGGTGTGAGTCTCACTTCTTTGTGAGAGTGAAATGACACAAGCTGTATCATTTAAAAAGACAAACAATTTTCTCTTACAAAAGTTGTGTTTGTATCGATTCCTATTAGGCTTCGTAGTGACTAAGGGTGTAAATGAGCTGGGTTGGGTTGGGCTTTGGCCTTCCTGGCCCAAGTTACGTAAAAAAAAATTCAGCCTATCTGACCTACTGACCTATTAAAGACTTTATTTGTAGGCCAAGCCCAGCCTATTTTTAAAAATAAGAAAGCCCGACATAGCCTATAGGCCTTGTAGACCTACTACTGTAGATACTAAGCAAAGAAAATAATTGAATAGAGGAAAGAAAGATTCATTCATGCATACACTAGTACTTCTCATAAGAAAAAAATAACAAACAAGAGTCAACATAATACCTCAACTCTAGAATGTATATCATAGAGGAATAGAATCAAAGAAATGAGAAAAGTAAGAAAAATACAATTATTGGGTGCTGAAATAAAGTCTACAAGAGAATGTCATTCATCTAAAAATTAGGATTGGTATTGGTACTTTGCCATGCCACATAAAATAAATATTATGATATTATTTTATTTTTAATAAATTAAATAGGCCAGCCTACAAGGCTTTGGGCTAGACTTGGCAAAATTGACCTACGGCCTATTAGTTAAAAAAGTTTTCTTAAAAGCATAAGCCTACTCTACTTTTCTGAAAGGCCGGGCCAAGTCAGGCTTAATGTAGGCCGGGTTGTAGGCTAGGCTGGGCCAGCCTGGCCCATTTACACACTAGTAGTGACAAAAAATTGATTTTAAAAAATATTGTCATATTATTAGTCTTTAGGAGTATTTGTGTTAGTGGGGACACGCAATTGACTCATTTAAATTAAACATTTTGGTTGCATTGAATTGGATAAAATAAACAATTGAATTTGGTTGGTCTAGGCTTCTAACCCATATTGTGTGGGCCACTTGGCCCAGCAGATTTTGTAACCCTCACCACATGAACTAAGATCTAATGGGACGAGTTGACCTATTTTAACAGCTTTACATATATAATTCAAATTGAGTTTGTTTGGATTTATATATTAAAATTTTATAAAAATTTAACGTGTTTCAACTCATGTAACATGAATTTGTAGGCAAACTGGTGTCCAACTAGCCCAAGAAAAAAACACTGATAAATTGGTCCAGCCTGATAATGGCTATATCTTCTTTGTTATTGCTAAGTTGAACAAACTATATATCAGCTATAAAGGTTACGTAAAAAACCCAACAGAGATTGCTCGAGTTCTTTCACATGCATAATTGAATTCAACTTTTGTCCTTTGTTTTCTTTCCAGAAATGCAAATGTTGTTAGTTTTGGAGATACACCTCTATTACCCAAGAATGACAATCCATTATCAAAACATTAAAAGACTAAAAGATATCTGTCTTCTTCATTATTGTAAAGAGTGATAGAAACTCAAGTCCACCTTCTCCATGATTGCTTCACTTCAGTTTTTTTGTTTCCATCCATTTCTCCTGAAGAAACTCTTAAGCTCCCCACTCCGAGTGTGTAACAACCTATTTGCATCCATCTTGTTAACATGCAAAATGATATTTAAAACACAACATATTTAAATACTTAAGCGGAAGACTTACACAAAAGTATCAAGGTTATCATTTAGTAATTTTATGAATTAACTTTTTCATTTTCTTTTCCTGATGTATTTCCATAGAAACTTAGAAAACAAATAGAATCAAAAAGGCCATCATTAATGCGAACAAGGCAATAGCCTCGGTTAGAGCAAAGCCCAGGATTGCATATCCGAATAACTGTTTTGCCAATGATGGATTTCTTGCCACGGAATGAATTAATGAACTGAATACGTTTCCAATACCTACAGCAGCTCCCGCTGAAGCAATTGAATATTGTATTATTTGTATTAACATGATTGTACAGTTTCATACATGTAAAGAATTCCAACTTAATAATCCTGTAACCATAATTAATGGTCAATGACTACCCGAGTATGATAACACATACCATCCGGATGGAATCTCACGTACAACATTTTAGCTGTAAACTGGACAATCCAGGGATAATTCCCACAACATAAATGGTACCTGACAGTCAAAAAAGTCCAGTCCGGATAAATACTAGATAGTCCAACATTGATGGACCTGGGATTCATCCACAGATTCACACAGATAATGGCTCCATATCAATACACATGTCAGACATACATTTTTATACGTGACAATATCAAAAGCATATAACTGTAAAAAAGCTACACATACCTTAATTACAAAAGATATACATCATTTACATACATGTCTCCCAAAACAAATATCAGATTATATGTGTGCATGATTATACATCATACAACAAAAGAATATGTACAATCATCCCCAAAATAACATATCCAAATGTCTAGCAGTGACGAGTCCTTTAACCCTCTACAAGCCTCTTGCCCTGCAAGGGTTCTCCTGCTACTGTTGGAGTACCTGAAACATGTCCCCAAACTGGGAGAAATAACATCTCAGCAAACTCAGATTTTATGGAACAGTCTCCACCTATCAGTTCACTTCCTGCATGAAAGGTTAGTATCCACATAATATAAAGTACATCATAGAGCTAGAGACAATATTAGCAGTGATTAAAACTCTGCGTTCAGTACACTCAAATAACACATGAATCTAGTCCATTTGGTGTCTGTATAGGACCCTGGGATCACACGTGAACTTTGTCCACTCAAGGTCCATATAGTGTCCTGGGATCACTCGTGAACTTTGTCCATTCAAATAAGCTCACTAGCTATCTAAGTTGTGCATCCAGTACACTCAGGAAATTCATAAACCTGGTTTTAATGGCCAAAGAACATATAATAGTTAATCATCACAGAAGCTTCAACTGTATATCAGTCATTCCACTAACACACAGTCTAGCCCGTATTGTTTGTCCACTGGTGTTTTCACCAATGACCCAATAATTCTATATGAATGCAACATACCACATTAACTAACACACCACTCAATCATCCAAATAATAATGATTACTTCCGTAAAAGCATGGTTGAACAACATAATGGAGTAAAACTCTTAACCAAGAGCTTACCTCTTGTAGCTCATTTCTTGCTAAACTTTCTGGAAGCACAAGCAATCTTTTTAAAATACCTTCAAATGTCAAAGTCACCTATTCAAAGGATGACAATTCAATTAATAACACAATTTTCATACAAGTTATCAAGTCTATGCTTGAACACAATTAGATACATGATTAATGAATATCAATCCATCAAGGATCAATTTAATGTACTCACACAAATTTTCACCAAGTCAATAATCAAGACTTCCTCCACTCATTTGCTCCAATGTTTGATCCAACATCAAGTTATCACTTCCAACTACATTATCAAACAATCAACAGGCTACTATCAATTTGTTATTCCAAGTCTTGAAAATACATGCAATTTCAACACTTTATTCATGCACATTTTCAGTCATTATACAAAATGACACAAATGGTTGTTTCATCTATTTTCCTCCATTATGGACCATTTCTAATCATATTTACCATGTCAATTCAAGCCCAAATCAAGTCAATAATCAATTATCTCAATTATTCAAGAAAGCACACATTTTGCAATTTATCAAAGACCAAACTAAAAGCAAAGCTTTTTCACCTTAAAACTACTTGGAATGACCCTAGAAATAACTTCCAAGCATCAACCAAAATTTAACAAGCTTCCAACCTATTTGTTCAAGACATGGCCAAAATATACCATAGGTAATTCATCAACTTTTCAAGCTTTTCAACACCAACACTTGGTGGTTTTCAACACCAAAATATCCCATGAACAACAACCACCGTCAAAACACAACACACCATCATTACTTGAATAACAAGAATTCTCACATTTCAAGCCATGAATTTCGGCCATGACACCAAAAATAGTCCCAAGGGTTGTTTTAATAATTTTTCACCTCTAGATACCATTCCTTAGCAAAATTTGTAAAGGCAACAATGCCCATTCATGTCACAACATCATTAACCAATCACACCCTCTTTGAACTCATATTTTCAAGGCTTCAAAATTCAATTTCATGCATGTTGGTTTTTAAGATTGATTCACCATTAAAATCACCTCCTAAACATATCCAAAGCAACAAAGCCTAATTCACAACATTTCATACATTACTCAAAATTTCTCCAATGAACCCTGACATTAAATCCATCAAATCATCCATCAAAATTCATGTTTCTTACCTCTAAATCACCAAGGAAGGCACAAGGAATGTTTCCCCCATGTTTTGAAGCATAAAAAATGCCTCCACCATGCTTTCTCTCCAAATTTCGCTGGTCTTCCCTTGAGGCTTTTCTTCCAAACCAAAGCTCCTCAATGGTGAATGAAGATTGGGTTCACTTATTTGAGGCCAGAGGAACATCTTTTGTGTAATAGACTTTTTCAATTTGAGGCTTGGTTAGTGACTTGTGAGCTTGGTTCATCTAACAATGGAGGAGGGAGGGGGCAGCTCGGGTTACTGTTCATAGGGGGAGAAGGAGCTGCTGTTTGCTCACAAGAGGAAGAGAAAAATAAGGGAGAGTGAGGTGGCATGTCACTTAAGTGACTTGTGTGGGGAAGCAATCAATTTACTCTTAATGAACCCCATTAATCTTTTATAATTCTATGATTTAAACTATCTAATATTTATTTTGACATTCGCCAAAATTATTTAATGGTATGTCACTACAATATTCAAAAGTTTCGAGTAACTTTTACACAGTTGCATTTTACCCAGTATCTTCACTAATTGACTTTTTCCCCAAAAAGTGACTTTATGCGTATAATTAGATTTTCCTCTAATTTTCCTCTTTCCAATATGGTTCCCTAATTTTATAGGCCTAGCTGAAGTGTATTTCCCAGAGTTGGTCCAAAATCGGGTAGTTTTGTCAAATTACCATTTTACCATTGGTGGGTATTTTAACCATAAAATTGAGATTTTCACCCGATTGAACCCTCTAATTAGACATTAGTTTCTAATTAGTGTAAGGTAATTATTATGACCTCATAATTATGTTTAGGCTAACTTTTGCATATTTGCAATTTGGTCCCTATACTTTCTTGTCATACATCCATTTATCACATTAAATCCTTGAATAATTCCCATTTACACATCTTGATAACGTGGGTTATTATAGAGTGAATGTGAAATCACATGTTAGACTCATTTGTATGCATGTTGTATTTTCTGCTTTTATCGGTTCCCTGGTATAGTTTCCTTCATATGTGTGGTTTTTTCTCTGTATCTTCCATTATAACCCTCACCAAATGGATTATATTTATATATGTTCCAGTGAGTTAGTGTTCCTAGGAAGCTGTAACTGAAAAGTGAACTAGAATCAAGAATATCTGAACCAAATAGAAAGTGTAGTGAGCATTGGCAAACTGACCTCTGCCCAAAAAATAATAGTTCTGCAAACAGATTCATACACACCAAGTGGCTTAAGATTTTAGGCAAATTAACTATTGTATATTAAGCTGTGAAAGAAAGAAAGCAGGGTTTTGGTGAAGAGTTATCCTTTTTTCTATTGGTTAACCCCTTATACAAGGTAAGATAAAAGAGACCACGAAGGAGTTGGGTGGGTGGGTGGAAATAGAATGAAGTTAAATTGAACTAACTCCTTATGAAGGTAAGATATGCACTTATGATGATGAACATGTCACTGTTTGAAATGAATGAGAACGTTGAGGACAAAACACCCATTACAAGGATTACACCTATGTGAGTGTGATATGACCCCTTGGTGTGAGTCATTAGTTAATTAGCTGGTTAGAGCAGTTAGTGGCATGAATGACATTTATAAAACAGAAGGTAAAGATGTAGGGGAAGCATCTTGAATCTTGGGCATTTGGATTTGGACTTGGGAGAGAATCATAGCCTCTCTAATGCTCTGACTTGATTTCTATAGAGTAGCTTGTATTTTCCTTACTTTGCCAATCTGTAATCATTTGAATCTGTGTACTTCATTTCCCTTGTAATTTCCATTGTTCTGTTCAGACCCAAATATCAATACAAATTACAGATTTCACATCTCAATCCTTATTCTATAATCATTTGTTATTGATCTTGAACCTTATCAGAGTGTGTGAATACCTTCTAATTCTTCAGGAGCGAGTTCTGCTATTTCCTTTGATGTTGGTTCCTATTGTGTATTTTGGTTATCCAAGTTTTGCATGATCTGTGCACATAACCACTTGGTCAAATACCAAGGTTCCCAATGAAAACTGACTATTGTGCATTATATTGAATTTTTTTACAAAAAACCTTTGGAACTGTTGACCGCAGATCAAGTTAATTCTCAGATTCATAGTGTTTTTGGTGCACAGGTCAATTCCAAATTACAACTAGCAGGACTCCAACAGTTTAGCAGGGAGTTAGAATTGTTTATCAATCAAAACTTTGAAGAACAAAGTAAGTTCTTAATATCACTACATCAGAGATAAATTTAATATCAGTTAGTTTATTTATTACTAGTCTTTTGTTTTATTGGAAACTGTGGAAAAATATTGATTTGTTTCCTCTCTTTTTTTCTGCATTTTCTGCTGTCATTTCTTCCTTTGTCCTGTAAGTGCGAGTGTGTGCCTGTGTCTAGTTGATAAAAGCCATGCAAGGTGCTTGCCTCCAATTGTTTACTATTAAAGAATATTCTACAGCAGGCTAAATAGACTATCATGCATTTTACTGAATTTTTTTATACAAAAACCTTTGCAGCAGTTGACCTCAGATCAAGTTACTTATTAGATATACTGTGTTTTTGGTGCACAGGTCAATTCCATATTACAACTACCAGGATTCCAGCAGTTTAGCAGGGAGTTGGAATTGTTTATCAATAAATTCTTTTGAAGAACAAAGTAAGTTCTTAAGATCACTATATCACAGATAATTTTAATATCAGTAAGTTTATTTATTACTAGTCTTTTATTTTATTGGAATCTATGGAAAATTATTGACTTGTTTCCACTTTTTTTCTGCATTTGCTGCTGTCATTTCTTCCTTTGTCCAGTAAGTATGAGTGTGTATCTGTGTCTAGTTGATAACAGCCATGTAAGGTGCTTGCCTCCAATTGTTTACTATTAAAGAATATTCTACAGCAGGCTAAACAGATGAAAATGACACTAGTATTTCATTTTAGTTTGCTAGGTTTCTAGCTATCACTTATGTTATTTCAATGTGGGTGCAACTATAAAAACTCAAGTCATGCTATAAGAGTTGCTACTTCAATGGCTATATGCATTGCATTTCTTGTTCTTATCGTCTTAAATGTTAAGCTAGTAACTGTTAATTGCTGACACGATTTTCCGTTTGCAGTTATAGATGGATAGCAATTCGGAGAAGAGGAAACATAAGGCAACGAAAAAGAGCACTTGCCTTAGTATGACTAGTAAAAAAGATAAAAGTTCGCAGAATGCCTCAGCAAAAAAGATTAGAGATAGTTCATCCTCAAGTCAGGAACCTATTGTTCCACGTCTCATTGGTGAGCTAGAGACAATGATATTGGCTAGATTTCCTATCTCAGAACACTGGAAGTTGGACTGTCTAAACAAGAAATTTCAGGCGCAACTCGAGTGGTGAAATCTATGAAATTAGGAGAGAGATAGGGTTCAAAGAACCATGTGTCTTTATGTTAGAAAGTTATCAAGGAAATTGGTGTGCATTTGATCGCCATTTCAAGTCCTGCAGGAATCTCCCGATTATTCGATCTATTATTCCACCGGTTTACAGTTTTAGGTGTGGAAACAATGGGACATTTTCTGCGGGGACCCATCTGTTTGTTCAAGGATCGGAGGCTGGCGAATATTCTGTTTGGAGGTATGACTTAGCAACAAATAAATGGTCCAAGGCTCCTCCCATGAACAGCCCAAGTTAACTTTTTGCATCAGCCTCCCATGATATCTTTGCATTTGTTGCAGGTGGACTTGAAACAAAAACTTATAGTGAAGTTTTGAGCTTTGTTGAGAAATACAATTCAAAAAGCCAGTCTTGGAAGACCCTCCCAAGAATGATACGAGAGAGGATGTTTTGCTCAGGCTGTTACATGGATAACAAGTTCTATGTAATTGGAGGACAAGATGAGCAAAAAAATAATCTCACTTGTGCGGGATTTTTTGATGAAGAGACAAATAGTTGGACCTTGGTTCCTGACATGTTGAAAGATATTCCACTTTCAACTTCGAGATTCCCACCTCTTTTTGCTGTTGTCAATAATAAGCTTTATGTACTTGATACTTCCTCAAATGAGGTAAAGGTATATATGAAGGGAACAAATTCATGGAAGAAGTTAGGACCAGTTCCACTAAAAGCTAATACTCAAGAAGGTCCCTGGCGTGGAGATTTGGGCAGGGCATTCAAATCCTTGGGTAATTAGCTACTTCTCATTGGTGCTAACTGTGCTTCCTATTCACATACCTTGATGTCTGTATACACTTGCTGCCCTGATCCAGATGTTGAGAACTTGCAGTGGAGGGAAATTGTATGCAGAAACACCGACTATCACTCTTTTGACATTTGTGCCCTGATGTTAACCTGAACCTTGATGTCCCAAAAAAGAAAAAAAAAGGAGGCAGACAAGCTTGCAAGTCAATATGGAGTTGCCTTTTTTTTTTACTTAGCTTATGTTGTTTTCCTTTGTTTCTTATAAGCACAGAAACTTCCATCTTCATATATCACATATCTTGGAAGAGTTGTAACATATAACACAACTAAACAATACTATAATATGAATAAAAAACTGTTTATTCTATAGCTGTACCAATTAGTACCTCAGTAGCAAGTTACAAAAAATTTCATTTTGAAAAAAAAAATTTTAGCCAATTAGAGTTATAACTGTACCAATTGAGCAAGAGTATTACCTTGTTGCAGAAAGATGTAAATTGGCCACTTGGTGGGTTTCCTGGAGCACAGGTCTTAAATTGTTGTTCCCTTTGTGTTTTTTCTTGTTTTGGATTTGTCCTAATTATCAAATGTTTCAAATAGTTCTATGATCCATGCTTTTGAATTTTCATAGAAGACATTTCAAGTTGATCTATACCAAATTCGATTGTCCTATATTGCCAGAACATAAGCACATTAATTTATGTCTTATAATTGCTTCTCCTTTCAACATTAACTTAAATTTAGCATCAAATTTTTATTTTAATTTTCTCCAAGAAAGTGGTTTTGTTAATTACGTACGGTTGAGGGTCATTTAATTATAATTCTTGTTGTGTATTTATCATGTTTTGAAGCATGATTGTTTCAACGATAATTGAATTAGAAAAAAGAAAAAGAAAAAGTGACCACTTGTATCAAACATCAAAACATCACAAACAGAGAAATATTATCATTATATGCAATTTAGAATCATTCAAAGGAGATTTCCCTATACCAGAACATACAAGAGGGTGAATAGGAGAAACCTGAAATCATGATTTACGTACCTTGTTAGCTTCCTTTGTGTCCAAGACTAAGGATCCAACGCTCCCCTCTCAGACGAAATCGAAACCAAATGAAAGAAGGCGATTTCCCCGCACACTTTGACTTCATTCTCAGACGAGGAAATACCCAGGTAGAGAGCTGGTGAATTGTTGGAAGAATGGGAAGAAAATTCGTCTAAATCAACTTTTATGATTTTGTAAGTATCTATTTTAATATATTTTCTCTCTCCTCCTTTATTAGCATTGATCTACCTTTGTATGGTTATGATTTTCCACATGACATGGTCATGTGATTTTTCACATTAGAGGATCCAGATCCTGTTTTTTTTTTTCACATTAGAGGATCTGTTTCCAATTTAGTTTATCCCACATTTGGTTTATCAAATATACATGTGGTGTGGTGTGGGCGTGTGGCAGCAAATATACGAAACGGGCAAAAAAATTAAAATTAAAATTAAAAAAAAAAGGTATTGACGCAGAGAAATAGAGAAACAGAGGAAGCGAAAAAAAGAAACGAGAAAAAAAAGAGGCAAACAGGGATTGGTGAAAATTAAAAATAGAAAAAAAAAATATTATAAACAAATGAGAAACAGAGGCAGAAAAAAAAAGCGAAACAGTGGCAAACAAAAAAGAAGAAAGAAATGAAGCGGAGAAGAGATTGAGGCAGAGAACACCAACCGCGACGGCAACGAAGAGAGATGATGGTCGGAGAAGCTACGAATGACGATGAAGCATGTCGGAGAAGCTTCAGACGATGACGAAGCATGTCGGAGAGGACGATCCAGCACGACAAAGCACATCAGACGAAGCCGACAGAGTCGCGCGACCTCATTTAGCAGTACCTGGTGGCTGAAACCAGGTATTAGGGTTTTTTGTGTTTAAAAAACCCATTTATACGATGGGTTTTGGGTCAAATTTTTGGGTTCATAGGACACTCAGCATTTCCTTGAACTCATTAAACTCGTACGAGCTTAAGAGTTTGCCAAAAAACACTGTGTTTCTACCATTTAAGTGCCAAAAGCGAGTTCGCATGGAAACAGAAACGTTGAGGGTGACCAGAAGTGTAAACTCATCCGAGTTTGCGAGTTTACTCGCGAGTTTGACAACCATGGGACTATACAACTGGGTGGTTCCCCTTTTTATATAAGACAAAATTTACCCATTTGGATCCAATTATTTTTTTCTATTTCCCTTTGAGTCATCACTTTTTATCTTTTTATGGTAAAGGAGCATGTGCTCCTACTCCATCGAAAATTCCCTAATAATCCTAGTGCCAGGATGTGAATTAGGCAACTTCATTTCTCATATTTTTTGTTTTCACTTACTCTGAAGCATGCCAAGTTGGCAACCAATGCCAACCATTTACAAAATAAAATAACACAATGAAAAGATGAGTCGGTGGCAGAAGCAAGGGAAGAACGGAAAAATCTGAAATGACCCACTACTCGAAAACAACCATAGCAAAATTCCCAAACACCTATACATCAAAATTAGGACCATTTCCCAAACCAAGAAGCAAAGAATCAAACAAACCTGACCCAAAAAGATATTGCAATCAACCAAAAATATTCAAATACAAGAAGGATGATTTTGCACAATTCAGTGTTTGCCACTGGCGCTATCTTTTTTGCAATAAAATGCATAAGGTAAACATCTCATGTACTATTCAGGTGCTTATACTAAAAATTATAATGACAAACAACCCAATCGGTAAGCGAAAGTAATAAAAAAAAAAAAACCAAGAAAGACATATCCAACCAAAAAGGAAAAAAGAAAGGAAATAACCCAATAGAACGCACAAGTCGAAGTACCTGAGAAAAATACGCACAGCGATTGTCAGACGAAGAGTGATGTTCTCCTTGTTCTGAAAAACAAAAGAAAGGGTCAATTAATATTTATAAAAATCTATTGAGTCTGTGACACAGACAAAAATTGAAGAAAAGACAAATAGTTGATCAAATCTTGGCTTCCGCTCATACGACTAAGAGGACCCGACGAAGACAACTCACCACCGGTGTCAACCACAGCGGCGAACATCCACGAGCTACTCCACTGGCCAAGTTTCACACAAATCGATTTTGTGTCTCAGAGGATAAGTGAAGCCTTGCTGTTGGAACATTCTGCAAATAACAGCAATTAAATTCCAAGAGGGGAGATAAGAGTGTTTTTCTAGTGAAAACACTTAAGCTTAAGCAGCTGCAATCAGTTACTAAGAGATTCCCAGCATTCATCAAACCCCATTTGAATAATTAGATAATTGCTAGCAATTGATTAAATTTGCAGGTGTCCATAAACAGAAAGAACTTATGACCAAGGTTGTTAAAACGTAGAGTCTACGCCGGAACAGTAGGGGTGAGCAAAGGGTGAGCAAAAACGTAAAAACTAGAAACTTAAACGAAACGTAAGAGTGTACTACATACCCAAAAAAATAAAATATCCAACATATAACCAAAACACACCAATACATAAGTCCAAACACTAAGGAAATAAAATTAACAACACTGGTTCTGAGCTTTCAAATTTCAGCCATATACAATAGATAATAAAATAAACAAACAGAATCCATAGAGCCTTATGTGCATAATTTTTAAACGCAGAACCACATAATTTTGCATAAGTAAAATTTTCATGAGCATCCAAAAGTTAAAGGACCAAAAAAACAGAGGCGAGAAACAATCATATATTCAGAGAAATATATAATTTTATTTTTTATATTTTTTCTATAAAATAAAAATGGCCAGAAACAATCATATATATTTTTTTATGATTTATCATATAAAATTAAAATGGGCGACTGGAAAAACAAGCGACTGGAAAATGAGGAAAAAAGCGACTGGAGAGAAACAAGCGAGGAAGACTAGGAGAAACGAGATCAGAACAAAGAACAAGCGACTGCAAAAAACAAGCGAGGAAGAAACTATCCAAAAAAAAAATGAGGGAAGAAGACTAGGAGAGAAACGAGATCAGAATAGGAAAAAGAAGAAGAATAGGAAAAAGGAGATCAGAATGCTTACTTGAGTCGCCGCTGCTGCTGTCTTCTACTCTTCTTGGTTAAAGACCGCCGCTTGCGAAGGAGACTAGGAGACCCAAATGCAGAGAGAAGACCCAAACGAAGAGAGTCATACAATCGGGTATTTTATTAAGAGATATTTTATTAATAATATATTTTAAAACAAAAAAATCATTATTTTATTTTATTGGACAAAACAGAAACAGACTGAACGCACTCTATCTGGCCCAAATTTCGTTTTTTTTTTTTTTGAACACTGAGTTAACTCGGTAAACTCGCCGAGTCAACCGAGTTGACCCGCCATTTCAACCGTTTCAACTCATTTTCCGTTTCAACACGTTTTTTTTTAGTCAAAAAACGTAGAATCGTACGATTCTACGTTTTAACAACACTGCTTATGACCAATTATGTTTGTCAGTAAACTTAAATAAATAATAGGAGGTGTAAAACATAAGAAATGACTGTCTACTTCAACCAAGTTAACCAAGATAGTTGAAGATATACATAGAAGTGCCACATTAATTGAACTTCATAGTTGAAATCAGATCTCATTTAACCCCCCCCCCCCCCCCCCTCTCTCTCTCTCTCTCTTGCTGAATCATCACCATGCGTGAAATGTACCAAACACAAGTGGAAGCATGTAGAAGAACCAATTAATGAAACATTTAGACACAGCAATTACTAGAATTTCAGGGTTCCAAAGGCCATAACAGTAAACAAAATCCATTAAAACACGACATGTACATCAGAACAACACACAGGTCATACAGAAAACAGAGATCAGCATCAGCAGATGTTGAAAACAAGCAAACTCCCAAGTAGTAAAAATGGAAGGAAAAAAAAAAAAAAAACTCATAGTTGAAGAATTTGGAATGTTAAGATCAGATAGGAAAGAGTAACGAAAATGGTCGCCTGAAACGTTCTCTGCAATGGCTCCTCAACTAGCATTATTGGAAACAAAAAAAAAATTCAAAAAAAAAAATAAAAAAGTAGAAAGTCAAAAAAAAAAAAAAGAAGGAAGATGAAAGAGAGAGAGAACATGATAAAGGGAAGACCTTGATCCATGAGAGCTTTGATATGGTTGAGGGCATCCTGTGAAACAACCCCCATTTGTTGATAAAATCACCAAAAGCAAAAAAACCCCAGAATTGAATTTTTGTTTGTAGCTTTAGCTTCACTCACTGTATGGAGTTTTTGCCTTTCCTTCCTTCACTCACTGTGTTACTGTTGTTACTTTTACACTGCAGCGAACCAGAGAAGTTTCATAAAAATGGAGGATGCATATTATAATATTGACTTTTGGAGACAGATACCAAAGATTCAATGAATCAACTCATTCCACTTCCACCTCATATAATGGGTGACTTGGAGAGAGAGGGGGAGAGAGATTACCCTTTGAATGTAATAGTAGTTATGTTTTGAGGGATTTTCAATGGAGACACTATTCGCTAATGCCTAAAACTAGTATCAGATTTTCAATGTAGAAAATAAAGTAGGAAGCAAGCTATGTTTGTGGGATATTACTCACAGATTCTTGGATGAACACCGAAGAAGCACAACTAGGATCTGAATCTGATTGAACACCTAAATCCCCCAAAATTGCATCGACCACGAAGTGAAGCAGAACCTCACTGTTCCCAACAATCAACATAGCTCAACATTATACTCTTGAAAAATTAAAATTAATTAAAATAAATAAATAAAGGGAATTTTAAAGTTAATTTAATAAAAATCAGAAATGGGGAGTATGAAAACGTGCAGTATAACTCCAGAAGTTAGCAGAACAAGATTTATATAGGTTTAAAAAATTAAAGTTGGGTGAAACACATGCCATGGGAAATTGCCACATAAACCCAAAGAAGAACACAGAAAAAAAACAAAAAAACCATAGGCACAAAAAGGGTGAATCAGTCGATAACCCAACAACATTTATTTCAAAAAGATTGAAGCCATCACAGGTTGCCACAAAGACAAAGAGAGAGAGAAAAAAAAAATGAAGCTTTCGAGGAGAAGAAAACATACCTCTGCGAAGAAGAAGAACGAGGAGAAGTAGAAGAAATTAGAAGAGCTATCAAACAAAACGAGCCTCTACGAAGAAGAAGAAGAACTGGAGAAGTAGAAGAAATGGGAACAAATAAGAAACACAACAACAAACAGAAATTTAGGATTTTGGTAAAAATTCACAAAAGAGATGATTGTTATTGGGAGGGCAAAAAAAAATAGGGGCGGGAGTTGTAGGGCTGGCCCGCTGGGTCTGTCCCATATTGATAGCTCTACAGATGGGTATGTTTCAGTCGATGACTAGGGCATGATACTTTGTCTGAGAAGGGTAATTTTGTCTCAAAATTCACAAAACTTTTCCCCACTAGACTGGTATCCTAGAATACCACATTTTCAAATACTATGACATGCTTACTAAAATTACACAGCAGCACAAAAACATCCAACCAAGAAACACACAAGCACACTTGTGTTACCGGTTGGTGACCTTCAAACAAGCAGAAGACAAACAACAGAGAAGAAGCAACAATAACAGCGAACCAAGGTCAGATTTTTGGGTTTTTGAGTGAAACCCTATCAGAGCAAACAAGGAATTTTAGTTACTGAAAATCGAAGAGAGAGAATTTGCAAAACTGAATTGAATGATGCAGAACAGAACAGAACATGTATATTCTGTGATGTACCGACACCGACACGGGACACGGGATATGACACGACACTCCGACACGTTAATTCTAGAAAATGTTAAATTTCAACACGTTGGGACACGTTTTGATATAAAATAATATTTTTAATATATATATATATATATATATATATATATATATAATATATTCATAAGAAAAGATTGTGGATTTAGTGTCTTAAGGCCCCATTTAGATCAAGCATTTAAAGCTTGCATGCTATATGATTTTGGTCTATCAGGAACAGCCACTGTTTTAGAAAATTCAGAATATATACAAAATTCAAAGTAACAAAATAATTGATTTACAATCTAGAAAATAATTGTTTGGTTTTGAATCACCCACTTGGTGATGCTTTTCTCCTATGAATATGAGCTCCTAGACAGGTTAGCAGCTCCAATTGCCATTTCTTAAAACAAATCTGAACTAAAGGGACTAAATTGAATTTTTGTGAAACTTTAAGGATTAAGTAAGTAATTTAACCTCTTGTAATAGTATTTATAATTGCCAAGTGATCCTTATTCCCTTTAATTTAGGTACACTACAAGAAACCACTCTCTTAACCAGCACAATTTCATTATTACCATACTCTTAAAATTTGTTTTAAAGCTGAATCTATTTGTATTGTTCTTTTTTGTTGATATCATTGTCTGATTTAGATGCAATAGAAGTATTGTCAATCGACAATTTCAAGCTGTCTCATTATTTATGCAACACTTATTTTTTTAACACTGATAAACTTTACTGTATATCGGTATACTTGAACTTCTTCTGACCTTTACATTTGCATTTGTAGACATTTATGTGCTTTTAGTGACCTGTGCGAATACCCTTACACTACCTTCTAAGTCCACAAGTATTTGAATACTAACATAAACCAAAAATACAGCAACAAGTAAACGAAGAATTTATAACTTGTAAAATTTTCAAACAGGTTGTATGCATCAAATTTTTCAAACAGTAAAATTAAAAATGTGCGTATAGCAACAGCCAACAAGTATAGAGGATGTTACCCAAACTAGTATTCAGGTACAGCAACAAGTTATAACTTGTAATTGTTGGAACAAACAGTAAAATCAGATTGAGGATGTTAGCATGTTTGTAAGTAGAGAGACAACGAAGAAGAAAATAAGACCTGAATAGTTGAACACGATGAAGAAGAGAAGCGATGCCCACCGAGCTGTACCGCGTTCACCTTGAAGGGTTGGTTGAGAATGAAGAACACACCTCGAAGAGCATTGACGGACGGCAAGGTGAGGAAGAACGACGGAAGGGGGTCTGGTCTGATTTAGGGCTCAAAATTGTTCGACCAAATTTTTTTTTTTTAAATTTTGTTTTTATTTTTTTTTAATTTATTTTAATCTTATAAAAGTTACAAAATTTTTACATTTGTACTCTTTGAGCGTGTCAAACACGGTCAAAATCACATGTTGAAATAATCAATGTATCGGAAAAAGTCAACTACGTGTTGAACGCGTTTCAAAACCTGTCAGTGGTTTGAAGTGTATATTAATAAACCTATATCTATATGGATGATGAAACTCAGCGTTTTAATAAAGTCTAAATTACCCTTAAACCAGTAAAGTGACAGTGTAATATCCTAAGGCTACTTATGAAAATACACAGATATACATATAACACACACAAATCGATTTTGTGTCACAGATTTGGAACAGATGGGTATGTTTCAGTTGATGACTAAGGCATGGATAATTTTGTCTCAAATTTCACAAAACTTTTCTCCACTAGACTGGTATCCTAGAATACCACATTTTCTATGGCCATCTACATTGCTATTTTTGTGTGTTATGTGAAATTCCAAGAATAAATTTTTTCTAAGATAATTATAAATGTCTTTGTACCAAACATGTAAATATTATATTGTCACAGCCACTTACCTTAGAAAATAAAATATATACACCTATCTGTAACCAGTATATATATATATATATATATATATATATATATATATATACCAAACACCACCTAATTTAACTTTGGGAGAAAAATGGCCCGGATCGATTTTGGGCTGAACTTAGACTTAACTTTTTTTTAATAAAAATAAATATTTTTGTTATTATTTTCCATTAACATAAATTTTATCTATTTCTAAATAAATAAAATGTAAATAATATAGATTTTTTATGGAAAATATAATTTTATTTAATTGAATATTTACATATTTAAAATATAAAGCATAAAAAATACACTCTTTAAAATATAATTTTCCTTTTACTATATTTTGTTAATGTAAACTCTTTATATTAAATATATTATTTAATATTAAGATATATCGAAATGTATCAAAATATTAATATAATTTTTAAAGTGAAATAGCCGTATCGGAATCTATGCTTGATATGCATATGCAGCTACTAAGTTCATATAAACACTTGTAATAAATTATAACCACATATATAAATGCTATATAAAGACTATAAGATAAGAAATCATCTAATGAGGAATGAAAAATATAATACTATACATTCAAAAAAAAGGATTGAAGGAACATAAATTAAACAACATGCAAAGTAAATATCGATTTTTTTTTTTTGTTCATGCATTTCTAGTAAAAAGTAATATAGTTAATTTTTCATTTTATTCTCCTGTGATTATTGACACTTACATTCTAACATTTTTTTTTATTTTTAATAAAACAATCTCTTATATAAAAAATATACTCTTTAAATAAGTTATTCCAATTTAAATAGGTGAAATATGTGAAAATTTTATATCTTTCCTACAAATTTTTTAAAAAAAAACTTGTTTTTGTTTCGTATATCCTTATTTAAATTATATATTTAAATAAGGAAGAAGAAAAAAAGTTGCAGATTTTAAAGAGATAGAATACTATCTCAAAAAGGGATCTGTATGTGACAGACAGCCAAGGAGCGTGGTCCAACCAAAGCAGGGTAGCATGTATGTGACAGCCAAGCAGTGTGGTCCCACCAAAGCAGGGTAGCAGATGTGTATGTGACACTCAAGAAGTGATGACTATTTTTATTTCAATTAAATATCTATTTTTTTTTTGATAGCTTCACTGACTTTCTGACTATATTCGATACGATCCGAGTAGGTTACCTAACATTAACAGTGAAGTTGACTCTCAATTTTTGTTTATATCAACTTGACATCAATTCAAGCCAACCTAACTTACTCAGATATATCAACTTGGTTCAATCGTTCACACAGCCACCAACAAAAGGTCAGAATGTACCTTTGTTGTGCGGATTTTACAAACTCCTACAACCAATTCCAGCCAAGAAGATAACAGCCTCGCTCCATATAAAAGGATGATATGCTGAATTTTTGTTTACAACGCACTATTTACAAAATCTCCAAATTTGTAGTGTCAAGAACCCTAAGTAGATTCGGTCAAAATTTGAGGGCTGTATCTCTTGAGTTCTTGTCAGATCAATAACAGTATGCGCCAATGTCCGCAAGTCTGGACATGAGTTTTTGAAAAAAATAAAAATAAAAATTACAAAACAGACGAAGAAGAAAGGTGGAAGAAGAAGTGACCTTACAGAACTCTTAGTGGGTGGAAATGTTAATGTGAATATTAAGTTTTGTAAAATTTGGGCAAATCCTATATTAGGTTCAATCCTTTTTTAACTGGGCCAAATCTAACTTAATGTGAATATATAAGGCTTGAAGAACTGACCAATGCTTTTTAATTTAAAGGGCCGGTTTCAACTTTTTTTTCAGACCCAAAAATAAACTTTATGCTTGAATTTAATTTTATTAAAACGTGATTTTATAATAATAATTTTTCGTGAGAAATTTTTATCTCAATTTTTAATTCAGTAAAATAATATGATTTTTTAAATATTTCAATATATATATATATATATATATATATATATATATATATATATATATATATATATAAGTGTTCAATTATAGAAGCAACATTCAAGTTACAAAATAAGCCTCACTACGTCTGCATTCATTAGATGTGTGATTTTATTTTTCATATTAGAATATTTAAAATTGGTATATTTTTTATATGTATTTGAATATATTTATAATTTTTTAATATAAATTTAGATTTACATATATTTATCGAGATTCAACCAGTGACCTACTAACTCGTACCTCGATTGGGTCAAAGACCATATGGAGTTTAATAATAATGCTAGACACTGAGTGAGTGATTAGTATTTCAATATAAATATAATAAAACCAATCACTTTATATATTCTTTTGTTAAGATGGAATTTTCTTTTCTTTTATTTTTTATATATTTTTTAATGTATTTAAAATCTTCTTTAAAAAAAATTCGGGGGCAAACTCCCGCTACTAAATGTATGGATATAAATAAAATTTTCTACGTCCGAAATTAAGCTTATTCTTTGTCACATCCAAATGCAAAACCTGATGTGAAATTATAGCTTAAGTGTAGCTCACGAAAATTATTGGGATGCGAAGTTTTTGAACAGGCTTTGGGTGAACTTTTTAGAGAAGTTTTCTCTCAGTGTGTTTAGAGAATAATTTTATCTCTTGCTAAAAAGTTATCCTTTAAACACACTTCTTCGATAGGGATAACTTTATCTCTCTGAAATTTCAAATAAAATTCCAAGAAGCAAATATATATATATATATATATATATATATATATATATATATATATAAAAGATTACAAGTTCATTTCTGAAGCATCTCTTAATAATTAATAAGAGACAAAGACATCTCACACGAATAACCAAAACCAAAATATATGCACAAGAAACAACCCTAAAGATTAGAATTGTACAAAAACACAACCCTAAAGGGAAAGATTAGAATGCACCTTAGTTGTGATAATTTACACAAGACTTATCACCGGATCAGCCAAGAAAGTATATCAACCTTGCTCCAAAATGATGTTTATATGCGAAAAATAAGGTTTCCTAAGAAAGATCCTCAAAAGCCCCAGCTTCAATACTCGAGAACACTAATATTGGGTAAGATTCTAAGCTCTCAGCAACCACAATCGTGATAATCTTTCACTCTTTCTCATGAACACAAGCAACAAAAGAAGGAGGGTGAGAATTTCAGAATACTTGGTTCACGGACTCTTAAAATGAGATATTGTGTTTATGCTATACACCATGTGATCTTTCCCATTTTTTTGTTTTGGTTTCAAACGACGTCTTTGTTTATAGAATAAAGTTCATTTTCGATCCCTAATAAAAAATGGTATATATTTTAGTTCTTGAAAAAAAATAGTCTTGTGAACCCATTTGAATATCCTTTTTATGGACTAATATGAGTCTCTTTTGAATTTGTGAGGGGCCATGATTTCAACCGAATGAGTCCACTTTGAATTTTTTAGGGACCTCGCGACAATTTTTTTTTTGCAAAGGACAAAAGTGGGAATCATATTTTTCATTAGTAACCCAAAAAGGAGTTTTACTCTTGTTTTTAATTTGAACGGTTTATATTTCTATCTAAGTTTTGAATTTTGATGATGCAAACTGATGGGACGTAAATTCGTTCTCATCTAAGCCCATTTTGATGGCAAAATACCACACGTTCCCTCAGCTGATGAGCAACTTCAGCATGAAAATCACTTGTTTTACACATTTGTGACAAAAACACAGTGGGGGAACGTCTGGTAAAGTATTCCTTTAAAATATTTTAAAAGGGGAACGGACTGAGACACATTTAATGCACCTGCTCCATTCATTTAATGCTTCTGTACACTTTGCAGGTAACGTAGAGTTAAAGACTTCTAAAAAGCAAGGCGGTGCACCAACTGAGCAGCTGGAAACGTGAAGAGCAGAGAATCAAGAGTTCTCATTGGCTGAAAACAGAAGCAAAACATGGGAAGGCCTGCAAACAACGGCTAATCATCACCAAATCCTGTTCCATTCAGCAATTCACGCAAGCTTCGCACTCTGCTGCCACAGTCCCGTCCCCTCATTCAAGCAACTAGCTCCAAGGGAATTACAGTCTTGTCATTCCTCTTCCAGCTATAAATAGGACCTCCCTCACACAAAAACATCATCAGATTCTGGAGGGATTAAAGTCCAGAAGGAAGAAGATCACCTGGTAGTAGTAGTAGTCAGTAACTTAGTTTTATTTAAGTTGTAACTGTAGTCAAGTGATAACCCATCCCCTTTGCTCTGTATCAAACCTTAAGACTCCTCACGAGCATTAACCATCTTTCTCCATTTTCTGTTTCTTTTTGTAACTGTCTTTTAAATTAATATAAGTATTTTTCTCTTTGTTCCAATCGTTATCTCTTGACTGAATCTCGGGTTTATGTGATTTCAATTGAGAATAATTATGTTTAAACTATCAGCCATGAGCTGAACTATCTGTGGAATGGAAAAACTTTGAAACTCTTAAAGAACTATTTTCAAAACTCTTTACTGAAGCTTTTTGTATTTCTTTGGCTAAGTAAGCTATATTCATTGTGCGTCAATGAAAATTAGGTACATACTGAGAAAGGAACTTCCATAAGGAAGGGAT